ACGCCACTGTAAATATTAACAAAAAAAATTTTCTTTTTTTTTTAAACTTAAAATTACAAAAAAAAAAAAAAAAAAAAAAAAAAAAACGAAAGTGGAAAAAGCATAATATTTTTATTTAACTGTTGTATTTTTTTTTTTTTTGAAAAATTATTATTATTATTATTATTTTAATTTTTTTTTTATTTTTTTATTGCTACGGTTCGTGGTTTTAGAATTTTATTAAATTTCCTTTTTTTTTTTTTATTTCCTTAACCAAAAAAAAAAAAAATCTCTCAAAAAAAAACAAGTGGTATCAGAATAAAGTAAAAAAATTTTTTTTCTCGTAGGTCAAAGGTCAAAGTGTAATTTAATTTTTTTTAACCGTTGTCAGTTTTAAAATTTTCTTTTAGAAAAAAAAAAAACTGAACAACGATTGTTTTTCTTTTTTTCTTTCCTATCAAAAACATTTTTTTTTCCTCCTTCTCCAGCGCTTCCGTTTCCTCTTTTCCCCCAACTTTCATTTTATTTACTGTTTCAATGCTACCGACCCCCCCCCCGGCATACATCATCCTATCCTACTTCATTTTTTAAAATTTTTCCAAAAACGAATCGTTCGTTATTTTAATTATTTTGCACTTACAAGAATATCAAATTAACGACAAAACAAAACCGGAAATGGTTAAATTAAAAAAAAAATGACGTGTGTCAAAGGTTAATGAAAATTGTTTTTTAATTAATTTTCCATCCGAAAAAAAAGGATTTTTATTTATCATATTATAAATAAAATGGCGGGGATCAAATTAAAAAAAAAAAACTCAATAAGAGAATTTTTGATTGTCACAAATTCCAATAATGATAATAATAATAATAATAATAATAATAATAATAATAGTAATTTCAAATAACTCGATGAATTGTGAATTGAAAATAATAATGAAAAAAAAAAAATTTTTTTCTTCTTCTTTTCTTCTTTTGTTAAAGTCGGGTTTTCCAAAGGGGAAAATTTAAAAATTCCTTTTTAAACGAAAATTGATGTTTGGAAAATTCCAGTAAAACCATTTTTTCTCCATTACTTGCGGTTATCCACGGTTATTTATTTGTTGTTATTTCCTTTAATTTTTTATTTTTAATTAAATTATTTATTATTACCTGATTATAAATTATTATTATTATATTATGTAAAGAGAGGGGAGGGGAGGAT